ATATATATATATATATAAACAAAGTAATTTGATATAGTTGAGATAAAAAATAGCTTGTTAACTTTAGGAAATAATGTATGGAGTGCACATCCAAATGATAAAAGACTATATTATGATTAGCTTAAGTGAATTTTATCCGGAGAGGATTCTTTTGCTGTTATAAAATTGCTCAAGTCTTTTCCCTCTCACTTAAACGATTTTTGAGTGGAGTGTATTCCATTCAGCTCTTATTAATTTGTTCAAGCGAATTTCAGAAAGTGATAAATCTTTTTATTTTAATATATATATAGATTCACTTAAGCAAATTTGAGATAGTGGAGATGGATCAACTTGTCTTAAATTTTCTCTCACACTTGTCAAAACAATAAATAGAAGACTCTTGATAAACTAAACTTGTATATAATTTTAAAATTTTGAAGACTAAAATTATATAATTAAAAAAGAAGATTATAATTCTATACTAAATATTATAAGAGACTAAAATTACAATTTAATTTAAAAAAAATAAATGACATATTAAATAATAAGTCACTTTTAAATTATTTTATATTCATATTATTTGTTTTCTCTGGGTGTGATTTGGTAGTTAATCCAAATCCACCGTGCTAGTGGCTCAATCCAGAGTTAAAATGGATTAATTAACTTTATCGCCCTTTATAGTTTCCTATTTTTTTTCTCCCTATATTAATTAATCCAAAGAAAAATCTTTCATCATATTATTAATATACTAAAATACTAAAAATAGTAAAAAAATAGTTCAAAAATACATTCGAACATATTAAAAGAAATGGTACACATCATTAATCATAACAATTAAATTTGAATTTATAATTATAAAAGTCCACTCTAACTCAGATTTAATGAGAAAAATTCTCTTTAAGTTGAAATCAAATTTCTCTCTATATTTAATTGAGATTAAGATTAATTTCAAGAAAGTAAAATGTGACATGCCTAATACTCTAAACACGCAAGCATGATATATATAAGTATGTAAGTATAACATAATTAGAAATATGTTTCATATTTTCTATTAGTAAAAAATAAAATGTAGTAATAAAGTTTGAATTTACGATCTTGTATATATTATTATATTTTTATACTTTAATTTCTTGTAATAATTAAATGATTTATATTATAATAATTATTACTTAAAAATATATACAAAAGTATTTTTTAAAAATAGCTAAACTTCCCACAAATTTTATGATTCTAACAAAAAAACAACATAAAATTAGATTTTAATTTTTCATACCCGCCTTACCTAAACACATCCTACTCCTTCAATTTTGGTTAGATATATAAAATAATAATAAGAAAAACTACAAAACTACATTTAATAATATAAATAAATGGTCGCACATAGCTGAATGCACACAATGGACGGTCCTGATTGGGCACAGCATAAACGGCAGGCGAAGTGAACCACATGATGAGTCTATCAGACACAGAAGCCAATCGATAAAAAGAAGCAAAAGACAGTGCCTCGCATCAAGAGAGAGAGAGAGAGAGAGAGAGAGAGGGAAAGGGTTTTGTAGAGAGGGAGAGAATTCGAAACCCAAATCCAAATAAAAGAAAAAAGAAAAAAAAAAAGTAGGGTGGTGGCGGATCGGAGGCCCAGAGAGTAGGCATCGGAAGATGAGTAGGCATCGGAAGAGATCTGCGATGGAGGGAGTTGGGGCCCGACTAGGGCGGTCCTCGACCCGGTACGGACCGGCCACGGTGTTCACTGGACCGGTTCGGAAGTGGAAGAAGAAATGGGTCCACGTATCTCCCTCTTCTGCTTCCTCTAATTCCAACACCAATCACAATCACAATCACAATCACACTCACAATCACACTCACACTCACTCTCACGCTTCCAACGCTTCCCATCTTCTCCTTTACAAGTGGACCCCAATCACCCAAAGCCACAACACCACCACCAACTCCAACGCTAACGGTACCGCCAAGGACGCGCTGCCCGAACCCCCCGAAGAACCGCCCCGAAGAAAATTCAAATACGTTCCGGTATTCATGTTGCTTCCTTCTTCCCTCTCTCTCTCTTTTTCTAATTACTTTAGCTTAGGGTTTTATTGGACCGTCACAACGTATAATGCGCCTCGAACTCTCTCAAATTCATTAGATTTGAAAAATGTTCAAGGAAAATTCGCTTGTATGGTACCGTTCTTCGCATTCGACAAAATGGATTGCTTTAGTTACTGCAATATCTTCATAGATCCTGTCTTATTCGGTTTCACAGTACTTGTTTTGTTTCCTACTTGTCCCTTATTTTACGCACTATTGGGACTTGTGTCCTCATATTAATGCATTTTTATTTAGAGGATATTTAGGAATAAATGTAGGGACATTGGGATTACAAATAACTTATTTTACCGTAGCTTCGTTATTCTGGATAAAAATTTAAGTATTGGACTATTGTGAGCTAGTTTTGAAGATATGATTATGACTGGAATTGACAATTAGCTGATGAATATAGTGCAGGGTATTTCTGATTTTTGCTGTTTTCCTGGGTGATTGATTATAAACAACAGAGAAAAGGAGGGAAGATAAGTAATGTTGGTTTTTGTTAGGGCTAATTTTTCTCTTGTTGCTCTGTAAAATATTAAAATACCTTTTTTATTTTTATTTTTATTTTGTTGGCCTTCTGAATGACGAGTATCAGATGGAGCTAACTAATTTTCTTAATTCAGAAAATCCTACAAAAGGGGTGTGTGTGTGTCTGTGTAAATTTGCTAGTTTATATTAATATTCCTAAATATCATTGTAAAAAAATGCCTACTCTGCTGTGTTGCTTGAGCTATCAATTGTCCAAAACATTTAAGAAACTAGAATCAGGAAATGTGATTCCCCTTTCCCCTTCTATTACTCTCTTGAGCGTCCAAGTTATTTGTTTTAAGAAATGAAATTCACTCCAGCTTGAACGCAACAAGGTGGAAATTCACTATTGAGTTACAATTGTTGAGTGATAATAAGAAAACTCATAATAAAAAGATGGTGGTAGTTTTGTCTGAGGCTGGGGTTTGGAAACAACTCATGATAATTGCAACTTGCAAGTCTGCAATTTGCATGATGATGAAGGAACAACTCTAGTGCAGAAAGTGAGTGACTGAAATTTCTGAACTAAATTATTTGAAAAGAAAAAAAGGAACGAAAACCAACATGTTGCTTACCAGCTTTGTTTTGGTGGAAATGGAAAAGAAGAATAGGTTTGCATGGTGAGTTGTGGCCCTAAATAGAGTCTAAAGGAAAAAAGGGGATCTATTTGTGATAACTATTCACACAGCCAAATTAGTTTTCAATAATTTATTATTCTGTTTCATACGCACATCCTGATTTCTTTCTTCAACTTCTGTATGTCTTTCTGGGGGCAGGGGAGTATTTCAACTTCTCTTGTTGATAGATGGTTTTTTGCTGAATACATGTGTTTGGGAACAACTTTTTTCTGAGAAATGGTTTTTCTTTTCAAAAACTCTCTCAGTAGACTGACAAAAACAAGTGATAATTTTTGAGAAATAAACTGAACCAAACACACATATATCTATGGGATAGATGATATCATTTTCCGATCAACTGATAATATCATTTCATTTCCTGATAAATAATTGTAGGATTACTGATGGAACATTCTGGATAAGCTTTCTTGTCAGTCTTATATTATGTTATAGTGGCTGCAAAAAAGTAGCAAATAGTATTTATAACCACAAACCCCCAATTTACTCCTCATAGTTTAGCAAAATCAATTTGGTTCTCAAATTACATCAAGTTGGTCCTGGTAAACAGTCACTTTTGAACTAATTTTGATGTCAAAAACCAACTTGATGTTCCAAAAATCTTTCAGCAAGGACCAAAATGGGACTCTCTTCTTTTCATTAACCAGATGCATCTGTAGTTGATTAAAATCTAAAGAATGTGGTTTACCCTTCACCACTGGTAAGATTTCAGATTGGAGGTATTGATGCAGTTAGCTACAGTTTGGCTGTTGAAGAGTCAGCTGTTTCCTCTCATTAATGATCGTGGGACATGATTCTGTGTTTTATTGTTGATTTTTGTAAACTTATACTCATAGTGTTGCATTAGGCGCTTTACACTTTCACTGGAAATGGTATTTGCAGCATTCATTGATGTTTGTCATGTTCCATTGTTCCCTATCAATGCATTCTTAGAACGAATCACTAGGTTTTGCTTTTAAATATGGTATTTATGAGTTTCCGGTGAAACATGTCACAGAACTGATGATATTCAACAATAATAACTATGCTGGACTAGCCAGAGGTTTTGATCCATGGTGTACTTGAAGTCATCTTCGGAACACTTACACCATTGATGAATCATTTCAGTATTCATACTTTTTGTGATGATAATAAGTTGATACTGGTCTATTCTGTCAAATGGTAATGAAGATTGGGAAGGTGTGGTAATCTGGGTTGTCTGATGACGCAGGTTGCTCTACTAGAGGAGCAGAGAAATGAAGCTGCAGAAAATGAGGGTGCTGAGAAGGTCGACGATGATTCTAAACCAATTGATTCTGATTCAGGTGCAGCAGATCCAGCTCGCAAGAATGAGACTTTGGATGAAAAACCTGACATAAATGATGTCCCAATGGAAGAAAGTCAGGTAAACCTTTTCATGTCTCTTTGTTTACCGCATGTTTCTCCAATTTTCTTTCATATTTGCAAAAAGTATTGCCTAGAATAACTGCGGCTCACATTCTACTTTATGCCCGCATAAATTCATAAAAGGAAAATATTTCTGTGATTAAAATTAGACACCGAGGCTTCTGATCTGTCATTTTGAACTTGGACAATTTTTATGATTCAAACGAGCATTATGAAATTTGAAATTTATGGATTGGGCATTACCATCATATAACTCAGCGATCTACATGTCTCAAATTTGTCATGTCTGTTGCTAAATATGAAGTCCACAGCAGTGACTAGTGAAGGACTTGATCCATTTCTTTTTTAAAAGTTTTATTTAAATAGTGACTTTGTCTTATACTTCAGTCTCAGTACAAAAATCAGGTGGTGCGCCAAGATCTGAACGAAAGCACATTGGATTTAAGTTTGGGCTTGACATCGCATGATGATGAACATGATTCTGATTCAAAAACTAATCAAGCAAGAGATGGCCAGTAACGCAAGTTAATTCATGTGGTACTGAAACATGAACAGGGGTCTCATGATTCTCCGGATAGTGAGAACATAAATGGGCAGTCTATACATTTGTTTGATGGAAGGGAATTTTCCCCTGGCTTTATGTTCAACCACTTGTTATTTTAGATTGGATTATTGTAACGGCATATGCCTATAGTATGGATTTTTTTTATTCAGTGTCCTTGCTGCGCTGATCTAATATGTATTGGAGGAACGGATAGTGTACCTTTTTCCCAATCATTGGACAGATTTTTTTTCCCCATATATTTATTGAAATCGGATATTCTGAACTTCGAAACTACAAGCCTGTGGAGCTAAATTGGATTTTTTTTAAAAAAAATAAATAACACTGATGAAATTGTGCTTATGATGTTCTCATCCTGACTAAAGTAGAATCATTTCGCCTTTTGAATTATAATTACCACTAAGTTTCTCTCGTGTGATGTCTCAGTTTACTTCATCTTCTAGATATGGCTCTGTTTATAAGTATTTACAGAAGAAGATAGAATGAATAAAAAATTATTTAGTCAATTAATAAGGTCTTCTTGGGTTGGTATTTATTATATAACTATGGTTTAATACATCATTTTGTCTTTATTTTTTTTTTGAAAAATTTAAAATAGATATTTCAACTAAAAAAAATGTAATTAGGTTCATAATCTTTTTATATTTTTGTAATATAGTCTTTGGGAGATAGGGGTCTATTTATAATTTTTTTAAATTGACAATATATTTTTTTATATCTCTATACTTGGACAATTACATTAGATTATTATTTTATATCATTATTTATATGTATTAAATTTTAATTTTTATCTTAATCTTCTTAATCATAAAATTTTTGAAATAGTGAAAAATTTTAATGAGTAGAGATATATGATACATGTGGATGGTGACATGAAATAATAATTTAATGGTACTATCTAAATATGACTATAAATAATTTTATGTCAAATTTCATGGACTATAAGTGGACATTTAATTTTGGAGACTAAATTATAAAAATAATATAAAAAAATGGACTAAATTACAATTTTTTTAGTTGAGAACTTTATTAAAAAATTATGAAAAATTGATGGAACAAATGATGTATTAAACCTATAAACACTTATATATAAGTTGTTTTTATATTTAGAGAAATAGGATTAAAGTTAAATTATTATATGTATTATAGGGAAAAGAAGCACTTTGTGATTCTCTATGTAAAAAGAAAGATAATGAGTAATTGTTTAATGGAAAAAAATTTAGAAACCGATTGTCATTGCAGTAAAAAAAAGAGATAATAGTAAATAAATGAAAGATAATAAAAAAGAAAGTGATTCAGATGTAATTATAGAGATAAATTACTCTAAAATTTGTGTACATCCTCTTTATTAATAGTATAGATTAATTGTACAGATATAGATTGTAATTGATTTTCATAATCTATCATAAGGAGCTTATTGAATTAAGTTGAAAAGAACGTATAGACTTATTATAAGTTATTTTATTTATATAAAGCTTGTTCATTTGTGTATGCAAGATACATAAGCTCTTTCAAATGTCATCATAAGTCTCTTATATATAAATTAAAATTAACTTGGGTTTAAATGTGTTTGAATGTGTTGACAGAATTAATTATTATCAAAAGTGATTTAAAATAACTTGATTTTTTTTATAACAAATTATATTAAAATGGCGATTTTTCTAAAAATATCATTTATACATCTTGAATCAAAATTGATTTTAGGTGTCATTACTACGATGGACTTATATATATATATATATATATATATATATATATATATTATATTTCTTACTGTTTATTATATTAAAATGGCGATTTTTCTAAAAATATCATTTATACATCTTGAATCAAAATTGATTTTAGGTGTCATTACTACGATGGACTTATATATATATATATATATATATATATATATATATATTATATTTCATAATGTTAATCAATCACAAATTATAATATATATAACTTTTAAATAATTCTTGTGAAAATTAATAAATTTAATATACATGACAAATTCCGATTAGAAGAAAGTATAAAAAATAGGCAGACTATTTTTCTCTTTGATAATAAATAGACATGTAATAATTTTCCTACGTTATTATTGTGTATATTATTTAATTTAACTATGTTATTGCATCCAAGGCATCCAACATTAACACTTGATTTCATTTATTTACTTTTGCTGAATACACTTGATTTAAATTGGTTAACTCTTGAGGAAATTTTCAAACATCTAATTGGCACAATCATGACACTCATGGATCCAAAATGCAAATAATCCTTATTTTTTTAATTAAATTTTTTCTTCTCTTATACGTATTTACTAAAAAGAACACAACTTAAAAACATATAATTGTGTTCATAGCCAGTTAAGTTTTAAGGAAAGTACAGTTATATTATCATACTTCTGTAAAATTGCCATGTTTAACTTCATCAATGTCCATGTATACCAAAGTATTCTCCCAATAGTCTTTTGATAATTCTCACCTTCATATTCATCTTCCAGAGACTTTTGTTTGGTTTAGTTAGTCCAACCACTTCATGTCCACTCAAGTTATTATAATTAACTATAACTGAATTTTCACCCTAGGCAATATTCAAGCCATCTACAAAAGCATTTACAGTTGTGCATAAAAATGCCAACCGTTTCAAGTGGCAGATCTACTGCAAGTGAGATGGCTTTAAAAGCTATAGGAAATATTAAAAAGATGAGGCCAGTTGTATTCAGTTGCCCGCTAATCTTGAGTCCCTTATTTGACCACAATCAAATACAACAAGAAAACACATAGATGGGGGATGCTTTAACAGTTTGAGACTTGCAAAAGTACAAATGAATTACACATCCAAAAGTATGAACACAAATATATGTCAGTCTGGCCATCTGCCTCCAAGTACACAATAACTGAGATTTTCAAAGATTTATTGTCATTCTTTTGTCACAGCAGCCTCAGAGGAATAATCATGCCTGGAAAGTAGAGCATAAGTTAATATATGTATCATGGGGACTACAGATTAGGGTCCAGTGCCAACAATCTTTGCAACAGCACCAAAATATGGCGAAGATTATCATAAGGCAGAGTTTCTTTTGATATTGTAATAGTGTTTCTTCTCTCCCTATTGCCTTCTTCAAACTTCGTGAAAAAATATCTAAATTTGATTTTCTGGTAAATCAGACCCAATACACTTAGGAAAATAAACTATTACTATTGATTAAAAAATGGTGTGACGAGTAAGGTTCCCACTATTTGGGGGCTTAGGACAAGGTGAGATGTATGCAACCTTACTCTTGCATGAGGAAGAATGTGTCTGACTAGAAACCAGGAACACATGGTCATGAAGTAGAAATCATCCTAAACTTAAATAAATAATGATAAATATCACCTACCGCAATTTGCGTGAGAGTTGGTATAAGCCTGTCCCTGCCATTGCAACGTTTACACTAAACAGGTTCCAATTTTTCTGCAAGTGCAACATAAAAATAATTGCCATAAATTTATCTGTGAATTATTCGAAATTGTATGTGAAGTAGTTTTCACTTTCCTACTCTTCTCTTTAGCCAATATGACCGGCAAGGATAAGTTCATAAAGTAAATGACATGCAATAAAAGCAGTATCCTAAATGCTACTGTAATAACAAAGACTGTTTGAATATCTATGATTGGTGGAATGAGATGCAAAGTGGAAGTCGGAAGAAGACTGGAATATAATGAAACTTAGAAACTATCATTCTATCACTTAAATATTTTATAATGGAATGCAGTAAAATTTCTTTGGGAAGTGAATGAAATGGTAACAAGGCTAGTAAACAATATGTTGATTACATTGCATCACATCCTGTACCTTCAGATTGAGAGTCAGATATATAGATGTATTGAACGGAATGAAACACATTTCATCAGGCTCCATTCCATTTTATCCTGTTTTGAACAATTCAGACAATGACAACTAATATAATATCTTTCACTACGGCTCCATTCCACAACTAGGGTTCTTGTATGCTCCAGGTTTTACACAAACACTGGTACATAATTTTAAGGTAGAAATGCTCTACAGAGAGAGAGAGAGAGAGAGAGAGAGAGAGAAGGGGGCCACTTGGTATACAGTACAAATTCAGAAAAAGCAAACAAATGTAAGGATGAGTCTAAGAGACACCAAAGATTATGGAAAAAAGAATGACCAAAAGAGTTTCATTATTACCTCATGATTTGATTACACCATGAAATCAATATTTTAAGGTTAGATCACAATTTGCAAATTATAAGTACCATATTATAGCCTAATTGATGTCATGTCATATAATGTCACACTTTTGCAATACAAAAGAAAATTATGCAACTACAAACTGGAATTATGCACGTATCAATGGTATCACCTACCATGTACCGTGATGAAGGTAATAAAGCAAAAGTATGAAATTTCTCTTGCATTGCAGGTTCATAAATAATCCTCATGTCAAAAAATACATCATTATTTGCTGAACTAGTCAAAAGAAATCAATCAATAAAAAATACAAACTTACAGGAGTGATAACAGTGCTGTAACGAGACCAGATAAGTCCAGTAGCTGTCACCGCTGCATAAAAAACAAAAAAGCAATCAGCAATCTGTGGATGTAAATAAAACCCAACGCATAGGGTTTAAACTGCTTGCAACTTGAAAACAAAGTGTTGTCTGTAGCATTTGGGGAACCCAAATATGCATATGTAGATAAGGATAGAATACGAGCAAAAATCCAAAGTCCATGTGAGTGCAAGTGCAAGTGCAAATGTGTGTATGTGTGTGTGAGAGAGAGAAACAGAGACAGAGGTCTACGATAGATAGCAGCAAATGCAGTTGTTTATGTACATGGATACCTATTTGCTGAGGATAGGAAAGTTTCTCAGGTGGTTTTGAGAAATCAGCAATATTGGCAATGCTGATGCCCCACTTAAAGGTAGGTGCCCAGAAATGAACTGCATAAAATTACATGTCAATTAATGAATTTATATTGGTAAAGAATGACAATACTAACACTTAATAATAACATTGGTCACTAGAAACAAAAAGAGACAACAATTTGAATTAGGGGAAAATAAAGCATACACTTGTAAAATATAATCTACTTGGTACTGGTACTTTGAGCAGGTGATGTTTACAAAGTACCACACAAGGAAACCCATGTATATTTATGACTGGACTGATGTTATCTTTCCAACTGCTACTCAAATTCGAGTTCCACTGCATTCTTTAAATTACATGTCATATTGTCATAATAAAACAATAACATCATACTTCGAATCCACTGAAAACAGGAAGTGCATTCCCAGCTTTTTCAACCAAAATCCAGCAAACATTATAAAATGTGATATTTGGAAACGAACATATCCTTCAAAAGAACATCTGATTTGCATGCACAAGTTTGTTTTTCCCCAGATGACAAAATATGAACATTCAATTTTTGTTTGTTTGTCATTAATCTCATTTTCAACACTCTTCTTGTGTTCAGAAATTAAATTAATAGACGAATCCCAGGTTCCCAAATATCTAACAAACATTTCTGTAAGCCATGCCCCCAAAAAATCCCTTTTCTTAAGATACAACCCAAGGTCAAATTAGGTTTATTTAAATGAAAAAAAAAGTTAAAAATAATTCAGTGCACATGACGAGTTCATAAAAAATCAAGTCAGATTAGGTCAATTTAACAAATCTTTAAATCAAAAACCCTAATATAAGCCAAATCCAGTCGCTGATTATATATACATAAAAATATACCCAAAAAAGAATGAACACAGAGCAATGAAAATCGGAAGTGAGAGAAATAAAGAAGAAAAACACAAGACAAATCGAATCAACTCACTGGTTTTGGGCCCAGCTGGGTGATTCCATAAAGCTTGAAGCTTTGCAGCCGCCATGAATTGAATCTTTGTTCTTCCCTTTGATTGAAAGCGAAACGGGTTGAGCTTCTACCACTGCGACAAAAGAAAAACAACATATTTATATACAAAAATATTATTTATATACCGTAATCATCTACAATGTAGGGGATCCACTCCACAACCACATTCAATCAGATTTCGACGCGTGGCTCATACTGGGTCAACATCTTTCTCACGTTGACCCATTTTCGTTTGGAGCAAACTGGTAGAAAATCACGTGCCAATAGCAACTAAACTATTAACGGATAACAAAATTTAATTAAAGTGTGTTAATCAAAATTAATATATTTGTAATTTATAATTTATGATCAACATGAATAATAAAATATATTCCAATTATTTATTAGGAAAAATGTATTATTAATTGATAATTATTTTACAATTTTATAAGAAAAAATATAAGATTTTCTTGAAAATTTTAAAGTACAAGATAACTAGTATTTTAATCCAGCCATGCATACGTATGTTTATTATATATATAATATAATCAAAATTTGTGATAAATTATATATAAAAATATTATATTTGAATATATAAGTTACATTTAAAATAAGTATATATAA